TGGCTCTTGCGGGGGAGGGGGGGAACCCATGTCTCTGGAATCTTTCCCCTTATCTCTGTTATCCCACCTGGACACGCTAGAGCACCCTCTTCTGGCCTACAAAATGCTATGCCCTGCATGGCAATGAACACCCTGAGGATCCCTGCGTTATTCAAAATAAAACCAAGGGCTTTATTTATAGAAACCCCACATTCCCCTGATGGGAGTGTAAAATGGTGCAGTCTCACCCTGGAAAGCAGTTTGCCCACCTTGGCCTCTCAAAGTGTTGGGATTACAGGGGCAAGCCACCATACCCAGCTGCCCACCACCACCCAGGCTAGTCTTGAACTCTTGGCTTCAAGGAATCCTCCTGCCTCAGCCTCCCAAAGTGCTGGGATTACAGGCATGAGCCACTGTACCCTATTTTTTATTTTATTTATATTTTTTTCTTTACTCTGTTTTTGGAGACAGGTTTCACTCTGTCATTCAGGCTGGAGTGCAATGGCATGATCATAGCTTACTGCAGCCTCCGCCTCCCGGGTTCAAGCGATTCTCCTGCCTCAGCCTCCTGGGATTACAGGTGCCTGCCACCATGCCTCGCTGATTTTTGTATTTTTAGTAGAGACAGGGTTTCACCATGTTAGCCAGGCTGGTTTTGAACTCCTAGCTTTGAACTCCTGACCTCAAGTAATCCACCCACCTTGGCCTCCCAAAGTGCTGGGATTACAGGGATGAGCCAGCTCCAGCCTATTTTTATTTTGTAACATTGCAAGGTTGTCAAGAAGAACTGACAAAACCAAGCTATGATGACCAAAACAAATGTGGGGTCCGGGGGCAGGGCAAGGTGGCTCACACCTGTAATCACAGCAATTTGGGAGGCTGAGGTGGGAGGATCGCTTGAGCGCAGGAGGTTGAGGCTGCAGTGAGGTATGATTGCACCACTGCACTCCACCCTGTCAAAAAAAAAAAAGAATGGAATGGATGTTACCTTTGGATGACAGAACAGGGACAGAGATTGATTGGGAAGAGGCAAGAGATAAGTTTCTAGAGGGAATATTTGTGGTAGGAGACTGGATTAGCCAGGTACATGGCTTTGTCCAAACTCAGTGACTGTGCCCTGAAGAGGTGCAGGCCAGGTGCAGTGGCTCACACCTGTAATCCCAACACTTTGGGAAGCCAAGGCAGGAGGATCACTTGAGCCAGGAGTTTGAGACCAGCCTGGGCAACATAGGGAGACCCTCTCTCTACACACATAAAATGTTAAAATTAGCCAGTCATGGTGGCGTGTGCATGTTGGTCCTGCCTACTCGGGGGCTGACATGAAAAGACCATTTGAGTCCAGGAGGTCAAGGCTGCAGGCAGCCATGATCATTGCTCTCCAGCCTGGGCCACAGAGCGAGACCCTGTCTAAAAAAAAAGCATGCATTTCACTGGGGTAAATTTTACCTTGAAAGAAAAACCCCTTAAGCAAATATTGATCCTAGTTAATGATCTGTGTGCGGACGTGTTTCGGGGCGAGACGGCTTGAGGTCTGCTGCCTACGTTGCGTCAGGAATAACTAGATAGACCAATGGGTGCATAGAGGGATGGACAGGCAGATGCAGGGGCAGACTGGTGATTAAATAAATAGAATGGAATGCAAAGGGGAGAATCTGGTATTGAGAATACAGGTATTCATTGTAAAAATCTTTCAACTCTTTTTTTTTTTGAGATGGTGTTCTGCGGCGTCACCAGGCTGGAGTGCAGTGGGGTGATCTCAGCTCACTGCAACCTCCGCCTCCCAGGTTCAAACAATTCCTCTGCCTCAGCCTCCCGAGTAGCTGGGATTACAGGCAAGCACTACCATGCCTGGCCATTTTTTTGTATTTTAGTAGAGATGGGGTTTCACCATGTTGGCCAGGATGGTCTCAATCTCCTGACCTTATGATCCCCCCACCTCAGTCTCCCAAAGTGCTGGGATTACAAGCGTGAGCCACCGCATCGAGCTCTTTCAACTTTTCTGTAGGTTTGAAATGTTTATTGCAAAACGCTGGGGGAAGGCCAGGCACAGTGGCTCACGCCTGTAATCCCAGCACTTTGGGAGACTGAGGCGGGTGGATCACTTGAGGTTAGGAGTTCAAGACCAGCCAGGCCAACATAGTGAAACCCTGTCTCTACTAAAAATACAAAAAAATTAGCCAGGCATAGTGGCGCACGTCTGTAATCCCAGCTACTCAGGAGGCTGAGGCATGAGAATTGCTTGAACCCACATGGCAGAGGTTGCAGTGAGCTGAGATCACGCCACTGCACTCTAGGCTGGGTGACAGAGACTCCATCTCAAAATGTTGGGAGGAATAATCCAGATTCTTCCCTGTGGCCCCCGCACCTTGCATGCCCTGTGCTGTTCCTCATCACCTCCCTGGCCTCCCGTCCTCCCTCTCTCCCCATTGCTCACTCTACACCAGCCACAGGAGCCTCTGCTGTTCCTCCAACACATCAGGCATGGTCCTGCCTCAGGGCCTTTGTACTTGCTGTGTATTTAGAAAGCCCCTCCCCCAGCCCCACCTCCTTGTGTGCACACCCCACAACTGTCTCGTCTTTTTTGTTTTTCCCAAAAATAGGGCCTTGCTCTGTCCCCCAGGCTGGAGTGCAGTGGTGTGATCATAGCTCCATGCAGCCTCAAACTCCTGGGCTCAAGCCGTCCTCTCACCTCAGCCTCCTGAGTAGCTAGAACTACAGATCCATACCACCACACCTGACTACTTTTAACATTTTTTTTTAGAGACATGTTCTTGCTATGTTGCCCAAGCTAGTTTTGAACTCCTGGGCTCAAGCGACCCACCTGCCTCAGCCTCCTGAAGTGTTGGGATTACAGGTGTGAGCCACTGCGCCTGACCCAACCTCATCTTTTTTTTGTTTGTTTTGTTTTTCAGACAGAGTCTCACTCTGTTTCCCAGTCTGGAGTGTAGTGGCACAATCTCAACTCACTGAAACCTCTGCCTCCCAGGTTCAAGTGATTCTCCTGCCTCAGCTTCCCAAGTAGCTTGGGTTACAGGGGCATGCAACCACACCCCACTAATTATTTTTATATTTTTAGTAGAGAAGGGGTTTCATCATATTGGCCAGGCTGGTCTTGAACTCCTAATCTCAGGTGATCCACCTGCCTTGGCCTCCCAAAGTACTGGGATTACAGGTATGAACCACTGTGCCTGGCCTGACCTCCTCATCTTTAAGTCCCAGTTCAGATGGCACTCCTTAGAGAGCCTCTCTTTGATCACATTTAAAATCATGCCACTCCGTTTTCTCCCTGGCCCTGTTACACTTCAGTATCTCATTCATGTGTGAATCTGTTTACCTGTTTCTTGCCTGCCCTCTCTATTGGTCTACGAGGTGGGCAGGAATGTGTTGGCTTTTTCCCCTGTTGTGGCACCAAGGCCCAGCCCTGACCTGGCATGTACAGGTCAATTGCAGAACATCTCTCTGCCTGGATGGATAGATGGACAGACGGACGGATGGGTGCAAGGATAGATGGGAAAATGGATAGAAGCGTAGCTGGAAGAATAGATGGGTGGAAGGATGGGTGGGTGGAAGGACACACGGGTGAATGATGGGTGAACAGATGCGTGGATGATGGGTGGGTGGATGAATGGGTAGGTGGATAGTTGATGGCTGGATGGACAGATGTGTGGATGGGTGGATGATGGGTAGATGGACAGATTTTTGGATGGGTGGATGGATGATGGGTGGGTGGAGAGATGTTTGGGTGGGTGGATGGATGGATAAATGGTAGGTGGATGGATGATGGGTAGATGGATACATGGGTGGGCAGATAGATGGATGATGGATGGAAGATAGGTAGATGGATGAATGGGTGGGTGGATAGGTGGATGGTAGATGAATGGGTGGATAGGTGGATGATGGGTGGATGGATAATGGCTAGGCAGACAGATGTTTGGATGGGTAGACAGAGGGATAGATGAGTAGATAGACGGGGGATAGGTGGACAGAGGAATGAGTGAATGAACAAACTTTCTGAGTGGGAACCACTGTGGTAGGCCAAACTCTTGGCTTAAGATCTCAGGAAAGGGAGCAGCTCTTTGGGCTCCACAAACAGGCTGGGACATGCTGGCTGGAGCTGCCCGACTTTGACTCCGCTCTGTTATCCAGCAAGCTTAGTCATGCGATAGGCTCTCTTACCCACCCGCTTCATGGGCTCTGCGATAACGAGCAAGACCCCTGAAATTCCCACATAGAGGGGAGTCCACCTTCCAAAGGATGGCCAGGAGCTCTGGATCCCTTTTTTGAGATGGAGTCTTGCTCTCTTGCCCAGGCTGGAGTGCAATGGCACCATCCGACTCACTGCACTCTCCGCCTCCCAGGTTCAAGCAATTCTCTGCCTCAGCCTCCCAAGTAGCTGGGATTAAAGGCGCCTGCCGCCATTGCTGGCTAATTTTTGTATTTTTAGTAGACATGTGGTCTCACCATGTTGGCCAGGCTGGTCTTGAACTCCTGACCTCATGATCTACCCGCCTTGGCCTCCCAAAGTGTTGGGATTACAGGCTTGAGCCACCGTGCCTGGCCGAGACTCAAGTTCTTGACCCCACGCGGCCACTCCCCTGCCTTCTGGCTACCATCTTGGCATCAGTTAAGTGCAGAGTAGTAACTATTGTGTTGGGCTGTGTTGTTATCACTCTTGTTAAGGATCAGTGGGCCAAGCACTTTAGGTTGAGAAGCCTGGGTATTACTGTCTCTGTTTCACAGATGAACTTGAGGTTCAGAGAGGTCAAGTCATTTGCCTGAAGACACACACTTCAACTCTGCCTCTAACACTGACCAGGCAGTTGGGGGCAGGGGGATGAGAATGGAGTGGTGGCTAAGGCCTCTCTCTTCTGGGGCCAGAGGACAGTTCCAAAGTCCCAGGCAAGGGGAGTTCCATCTTCCAGTCCCGCCTCCTGGTTGTCAGCTGTGCTGTTAGGGGCCCAAGTAGGAGTTCTGAGGCTCCAACCTCTGAGGCCCACTTGCCCCACCCATTCTGCTTGCAGAGCTCCCAGCTAGCTGGAACCTGTGTCCACAGAATGCTGTCCAGTTTCAACGAGTGGTTTTGGCAGGACAGGTTCTGGTTACCGCCCAACATCACATGGACACAGCTGGAAGACCAGGATGGCCGTGTCTACCCTCACCCCCAGGACATGCTGGCAGCCCTGCCCCTGGCGCTGGTCCTCCTGGCCATGCGCCTCATCTTTGAGAGGTGAGTGACCCATCACCCCCGCGGCCACTCCAGCATATGCTCCTGCCCCCGCGTGCAATTTGCCATTGCAGCATGCACCCAGCAGAAGCTGGCTTTTCACCAAAGTGCTTTCCCTGGCTCCACCCTACCCCCAGTCACCTCCATCCACACTTCTGGCCTCTGATTTCGGGTTTACTGGAACACAGGCCACAGATTGGGGCTGGGTGTACCAGCAATCTTCCTAAAACAGGGATGGGAGGTTGGGCACAGTCACTCACATCTGTAATCCCAGCACTTTGGGAGGCTGATGTGGGTGGATCACTTGAGGTCAGGAGTTCAAGACCAGCCTAGCCAACATGGTGAAATGTTGTCTCTCCTAAAAATACAAAAATTATCTAGGGGCACACCTGTAATTCCAGCTACTCAGGAGGCTGAGGCAGGAGAATCACCTGAACCTGGGAGATGGAAGTTGCAGTGAGCCAAGATTGTGTCACTGCACTCCAGCTGGGCAACAGAGCGAGACTCCATCAAAAAAAAAAAAAAAGAAAAGAAAAAGAAAAAAAAGACAAATGTGAGCTGGGGGTGTTATCCCATCCCAAAGACATCCCAGGGACTCTGTGAAGGACAGTGGGGTGGGCAGAGGGTTTTCCAGTTTCAAACGCAGGGGTTTTAGTCCCTGTTTAAAAAAAAAAAAAAAGAACATGCCAGGTATGGTGGCTGATGCCTGTAACGTCAGCAACTTGGGAGGCCGAGGCGGGTGGATTACTTGAGTCCAGGAGTTCAAGAGCAGACTGGGCAATATGGTGAAACCTTGTCTCTATTTTAAAAATACAAAAATTAACTGAGAGTGGTGGCTCGTGCCTGTAGTCCTAGCTACTTGGTGGGCAGGGGCTGAGGCAGGAGGATCGCTTGAGCCCAGGAGTTGAGACTACAGGCATGCGCCACCACACCTGGCTAATTTTGACTGCAATAGCGTGATCTTGGTTCACTGCAATCGCTGCCTCCCAGGTTCAAGAAGTTCGCCTACCTCAGCCTCCCAAGTAGCTGGCATTACAGGTGTGTGCCACCACCCCGGCTAATTTTTGTATTTTTAGTAGAGACAAGGTCTTAGCATGTTTCCCAGGCTGGTCTTGAACCCTGAGCTCAAGCAATCCTCCCACACTCTACCTCCCAAAGGAGACCCTGCCTCTTAATACAAAAACAAGAATCCTAACTTCAAATTTTAGGTCTTCTGCCTACTCCCAGTGTCACCTCGGGCATGTCTCTAACCCTGTGAGCCTCAGTTTATCCATTAGGACGGTGGGACAGTTAGGGTTAAGTGAGCCAGTGCATAACATGGACCTGGCCTTATGCTTAGCAGATAATAACCGCTCCTTAAATGTCTCCGCATCATGACTAGTCTGCAGTCAGTTCCTTGCTAGGCTCCTCTGGGCCTCAGTTTCCCCAAATGAGGGATGATGTTGGGATAGATGGTGGATATTAAATTTGGTTTCCATCTGTGATGTTGGGGCACCCTCTTGTTGGCAATGTGGTGATTGACCAGGGTCCCTAATCTCCAAGTCCCTACCCTGGAATGGGGGATGCTGGGAGGAGGGACTTGGAGAGAGACCAGATCTGCCCCTGTCCCTGACCCTGGGAGCCCCTAGACTGGCAGGGGGACTCAGACCAGGGCCCAAGCCACAGTGAGACCGGCGGTAAGGAGACTCTTATCCCTGGTTTGGGATTGGGCAAAGGTACCTAGGTACCACGAGTTGGTCTGCACACCCACACCCTGCAGACAGATCCCGCTGCCTTTTTTTTTTTTTTTGAGACAGAGTCTCACTCTGTCACCCAGGCTGAAGTGCACTGATATAAGGCTCACTGTAACCTCTGCCTCCAGGTTCAAGCAATTCTCCTGCCTCAGCCTCCTGAGTAGCTGGGAATATAGGCTCCCACCACCATGCCCTGATGATTTTGTTTTTTTTTTTTTTTTTTTTTTGAGATGGAGTTTTGCTCTTGTTGCCCAGGCTGGAGTGCAATGGCACCATCTTGGCTCAAGGCAACCTCCGCCTCCCAGGTTCAAGCGATTCTCCTGCCTCAGCCTCCAGAGTAGCTGGGATTACAGGCATGTGCCACCATGCCCTGATGATTCTGTATTTTTAGGGGAGACGGGGTTACATCATATTGGTCAGGTGATCCGCCCACCTGGCCTCCCAAAGTGCTGAGATTGCAGGCGTGAGTCACTGAGCCTGGCCCGATTTTGCATTTTTAGTAGAGATAGGTTTCACCATATTGGTCAGGCTGGTCTTGAACTTCTGACCTCAGGTGATCCACCCATCTTGGCCTCCCAAAGTGCTGGGAGTACAGGAGTGGGTCAGCTGCCTTCTTACGTTCGGTCTATTGCAGCAGCCCCACTACCCCTCCAGGGCCCCAGGGGGTGAGGCCAGAAGTGGAAAATTGAGTCCTGCCCCATGAGCCTTTCTGACTCAGGCCTCCAAACCTATGAGAAGGAAGATCCTTCTCATCACACTCTCTGCCATGTGCCAGCTGTGCTCTCTGAGCCTGTAACTTTGCCCCTCCAAGACTTGGTTTCCCCACCGATAGCATGTTTGCCCCCCACACACAGGAAATCCTGTCTCTTCACCTAGACTGATGGGCTCTCTCTTGTACCCAGATTCGTTGGCCTGCCCCTGAGCCGGTGGCTAGGTGTGCAGGATCATACCAGGAGGCAGGTGAAGCCCAACGCCAGACTAGAGAAACACTTCCTCACAGAAGGCCACAGGCCCAAAGAGGTGAGAGTTTCCCATGCTCTCCAACTGGCACTACTGTCCTGGAGGTGGGGCCTGCAGGTGGTATGTGGCCCATTTGTTGGAATAGGGGAAGCCAAGGTGGGTTCAGGCACCCCCACAACATCCCCACTTTCCCGTTCATCCCGAGTTCCCTGGGCTGCCTCACCAATCTCCCTGGGAAAGGAGGCCCCACCCCTCCCAGCCTCCCTGGGAAATGGGTCCCACCCCTCCAGCCTCCCTGGGAGAGAGAGCCCTTGTCCCTCTTAGTCTACCAGGGAGATAGAGCTCTGCCCCTCCCAGTCTCCTTGGGAGATGGAGCGCCGTCCCCCCTACCGGCCACTACCAGCCTCCCTGGGAAATAGGCCCCATACCTTCTGCCTCCTTGGGAAATGGGCCTCGCCTTTCCAGCCTCCCTGGAAAATGGAGCCCTGCCCCTCCCATTCTCCCTGGGCCTCAGTGGGTACAGTTACCCAATGGACACATTCTAGGAGGCTGAAAGTAGTTGCTTGTTGCCTATCTTGGGAAGGAATGGAAGGTCTGACTGTGCTCATGGGGGATGGAATAACAAGCAGCCCTGTGACCCTCCCTCCATTCCCATCTCTGGCGTGGCTGCCTGCTGGACAGGCTCTGCACTGTGGAAGCGTGGCTGGGTCCAGAGTGGGGTGGGAAATGGTGAAGACCATGTACCCCAGGGGTGACAGACCAGCTTCCACAGAGCTAAAAACCACTTAACTCCCCCTTTTCTTGTCAATTTCCCTCTGCAGGGAGGGCTTGGTGGGTGGGGCAAGGTCTCAACTGCCTGCCTAGGTTGGAGGTGTGTAGAGCCACAGCCCTACAGGATCGTGGGGTGTCCCCTATTGCTGTGCTGAGGCACAGGATCCAAGAAATAAAGAGACAAGACACAGAAGGACAAAGAAAGCACAGCTGGGCTCGGGGGCATGGGGCATGCCACCTATAAGTGGAGACAGGCGAGGCCCCAAACATCCAGAAGCATCTGTATTAGATATAGGTTGTGGGGAAGGGTAGTAAGTGAAGTCATCTTTAAGGACAGTGATAGGGTCAAGACATTCATGTGAGCGATAAGCAAGGGGTCCACCCCCATTAGGTCACCTAGGCTAGGAGGTGGGCCGTAGGCAGTGAAGAGGGTGTAATGTGCAATCTCTCTTATCCAGGGGCAGGCTACTTCTAAGGGATTCTCTAGGAGGATGCTTTAAGCAGCAACAGAGCTGACAAGGTCTACAGCCCCCTGCTGGCAGCTTCCAATGCTTTCTCTAGGAGGATGCCCTGAGCCAGCACAGTAGCTATACTGGAGGGGTTTTAAGCCCTCGAACGCTCTTGGGATTGCCCCCTGAGGGCAGCCTTCCACAAGAACTGGATGCAAGGTACTACAACTCCTTTATCAGGAGGAGAGGCCCTTGTTCCATGTCTGCCCTACAGCAGGTATCTTTATGATACTGAATGCTGCCGCCTGGGCCAAAGATGCTTGTCCTGGTATAACTGCTTTTCCCTTAAATCATGCTGTGCACCGTGTCTGCTCTAGACATTCCTCCGACTATAAGCACGATATGCTTACATAGGTTGTATAGCTGTTTATCCCTTAATTCATGCTCTGTACCATGTCTTCTGCTCTAGGCATTGCTCCCACTATGAACTAAGATAATTATACATATATAAATGAGTAGTAAGATATTCTTCAGGCACTAATTCTATAATCTGTTATTATATATAAAGGATAAAAAGATATAACTAATAACACTATAAACTAAGATATTCTTCAGGCACTAATTGTGCCGGGAATCTGCTTCGCTCTGCTTCTTCGGTGCCCAGATTGGGGGTTACCCACAGAGGTGAGAACTGACCGTTCTGGAGGGGCGCAGGAAAGCCTCTGTGGGGGCAGGGTATGCTGCATGCCAGTCTCTCTTAATCCCAATCCCACCAGCGACCTGCCTGCCCTGTGAACAGGATTTGCTTCTCATTTTTTTGAGATGGAGTTTCACTCTCACCCAGACTGGAGTGCGATGGCGAGGTCTCAGCTCACTGCAACCTCCACCTCCCGGGTTCAAGTGCTTCTCCTGCCTCAGCTTCGTGCGTAGCTGGGACTACAGGCACATGCTACCACAACCGACTAATTTTTGTAGTTTTAGTAGAGATGGGGTTTCACTGTGTTGGCCAGGCTGGTCTTGAACTCCTGACCTTGTGATCTGCCCACCTTGGCCTCCCAAAGTGCTGGGATTACAGGCGTGAGCCATGGCACCCGGCAGGATTTGCTTCTCTTAAGGTCTAAGTGTTCTGCAGGACCCCACCCTGGGACCCCCAACACTGCCTCTCCATATAGACACAGCCATCCTGTAGGCAAGACATGGGACTTCAGTGGAGGAGAGGACAGAGCCAAGTCCTGTGAGGACATGGGGGGAAGCCACCATAGGGCCTCTGTAACCCTTGTCCCCATCACCCACTCCCCAGCCCCAGCTGTCCCTCCTGGCTGCCCAGTGTGGCCTCACACTGCAGCAGACTCAACGATGGTTCCGGAGACGCCGGAACCAGGATCGACCCCAGTTGACCAAGAAGTTCTGTGAGGCAAGGTAAGCCCAGGATGGGTCTGGCTGGGGCTTTTAGGGTGCAGGGCAGCAGGGGGGTGTCTGCTGTTCTCACAGCTTCCTCCCTGTCCGCAGCTGGAGGTTTCTCTTCTACCTGTCCTCCTTTGTGGGCGGCCTCTCCATCCTATATCACGTGAGTATACCTGACTGCTCACCTGCCCCGCCCACCTGCCCCAGAAACACCTTCTATGCCCCAGACTTGGCTCTGGTGGGAGGGGAGTGTGTGGAGGGGTGCAGCCAGAGCGCGGCGAGAGCTTGGGGGGGGGTGGTGGTGAATGTTCACTCAACAGGTACTTAGGGAGGATCTACCATGTACTATAGGTTTGGGTATCTGATGAGGCCCTGCCCCTCTCAGCCTTCTTGGGCAATGAGACTTCACCACCACCACCACCACCCACCACCCCCACCCCCTCTGTCTTCCTGGCTGATGAGGCCCGGCTTCTCCTGGCCTCCTTGGAATGAGACCCCCACTCATGAGTGAGAGGCAGGAAAAAGCAGGGCTGGGTAAAGACAGCATCTATGAGATTATGGAAGGAATCCCAAAGAGGCCACAGACCCAGGCTGGGAGGCTGGATTCTCACTTCCGCACAGCCTGACACCCGTTTCCCTGCAGGAGCCATGGCTGTGGGCACCAGTAATGTGCTGGGACAATTACCCAGAGCAGGTGAGTAGCAGAGTGTGTGTGAATGCTTGGCGGGTCAGAGTGATGATGACAGTTGCTGCAGCCATGATCATGAGATCCGAACCCTGATACTAAACCACCATTCCTCTGAGTCCCACTCTATCTCTGATTCCCCTGTGGAATAGAGAGGGGCCAGGAAACTCGAAGCAGGAGCTTCCACCAAACCACTGCCCTTGATTACCTCCAGGGATGGGAAGCTCACTCATTGGGATTCAAGTGTCCTGGTTTTGGGTGGAGAGGGTCTTGAGCCATGCCCCTGCCCGATGGGAGGCTTTGCTCCCCACAGCTAACCTTGCCCTGCCCTGCCACAGACCCTGAAGCCATCCATGTACTGGTGGTACCTCTTCGAGATGGGTTTCTACCTCTCACTGCTAATGAGGCTGCCCTTTGATGTCAAGCGCAAGGTGAGGCCAAACAAGATTCTGGAAGCCCCAGTCTATGGACAGGGAGCTGGGGTGCCGGGCGGTGAGGCAGCCTCACAACCAGATCCTGAGAACTTCCTGGTGCCTCCTGCATGAGGCAGAGGCCACACCAACTCTGAAAGGGCCTGCTCCTTGGCCCATGGGGTGGGGGGCCCCCTCCAGCATCAAGCCTCGTCCCCACTATGACCCAACGTCTCCCGCAGGATTTTAAAGAGCAGGTGATGCATCACTTCGTGGCAGTCATCCTGATGACCACCTCCTACAGCGCCAACCTGGTGCGCATTGGCTCTCTAGTGCTGCTGTTACACGATTCCTCCGACTACCTGCTGGAGGTGGGCCTGGCCCCTGCCTGACCCCTCCCAGTTGCTGTACCCAGCCCCTCCCAGGTGCCCCTCCCATTCCTCCCAACCTTGCAGGGAGATGAAGCGAAGCCCCGCCACTCCCAGCCTCCTTGGGAGATAAGGCCTCGCCCCCCTGTCTTGCTGGCTGAGGCCCTGCCCTTTCTTGCCTCCTTGGGCAGTGAGGCCCCACCCCCTCTGTCTTCCTGGATGATTAAGCCACACCCCTCCCGGCTTCCTTGGGCAGAGGTCCCACCCCTCTCATCTTGCTTTGGTGATGATGCCCGGCTCCCTCCATCTTCTGGGGAGATAAAGCCCTGCCCCTTTCAGCCTTCCTCCTTGGAGGACAAAGCTACACACATGTGCAGACACACATGTATTCACACTTTCTTTTTTTGAGATGGAGTTTCACTCTTGTCACCCAGGCTGGAGTGCAATGGTGCAATCTCGGCTCACTGCAACCTCCACCTCCTAGATTCAAGCGATTCTCCTGCCTCAGCTTCCCAAGCAGCTGGGATTACAGGCACCTGCCACGATGCCCAGCTAATTTTTGTATTTTTAGTAGAGACAGGGTTTCACCACATTGGCCAGGATGGTCTTGAACTCCTGACCTCAGGTGATCTGCCTGCCTTGGCCTCCCAAAGTGCTGGGATTGCAGGCGTGAGCCACTGTACCCACCCTATATTCACACTCTTTACCTTTCTAGGTAGTTCCTGGAAAGTCAGGTCCCACCCCAACTCACCTGGTCCTTCCTCATGGCACCTTCTCCTTGAGACCAGGCCCCTCCTTGCCTGGCCCCTGATCCTGAGCGCATTTCTCTCTGCTGTCCTCCTCAGGCCTGTAAGATGGTCAACTACACGCAGTATCGGCGAGTGTGCGATGCTCTCTTCCTCATCTTCTCCTTGGTCTTCTTCTACACCCGCCTGGTGCTCTTCCCCACCCAGTGAGTCAACCCTCCATGGGGGTCAGGGAGGTGGGAGGGCATGTCTGAGATTCCAAGACTGCCTCACCCTTGGTGCCCTGCCCCGGGGAGCTGGGGATATTGGCTGGGAGACTCCAGGAGGAGGGCACAGCATATGCAAAGGCCCAGAGGTGAGACAAACTGAGATTTATACTTACCATTACTCAGCATTCCTGGACCACGGAGTAGAAGGAGAGGTCAGGGTTGCCAGCGCACCAAAGTCTGACCCGTAAATATTTGAGGGGCCTCTTGAATGTGCTGGGAACACAGCAGAGGCCACAGTGTAAAGATCCCTGCCCTCGTCAGCAGACATTGCAGCAGGGAGTGGGTGGTGGGGGGTTGGGGAGCAGATGGTAAATGAGGCAGCCAGGTGAAATAGACAACACGCGAAGGAGTGACCATACTAACAAGCAAATTAAGTCAGGGGCCAGGCATGGTGGCTAACGCCTATAACCCAGCACTTTGGGAGGCCAAGGCAGGCAGATCACTTGAGGTTAGGAATTCAAGACCAGCCTGGCCACATGATGAAACCCCATCTCCACCAAAAATACAAAAATTAGCTAGACAGGATGGTACATGCCTGTAATCCCAGTTACTCGGGAGGCTGAGGCAGGAGAATCACTTGAACCCAGGAAGTGGAGGTTGCAGTGAGCCTGGATTGTATCACTGCCCTTCAGCCTGGGTGACAGAGTGAGACTCTATCATAAATATATACAGCTATACACACACACACACATGCCAGGTGTGGTGGCTCCCACCCCTGCAGTGTCTCCTCACGAGGGCAGGGATCTTTGCACTGTGGCCTCTGCTGTGTTCCCAGCACATCCAAGAGGTCCCACAAATATTTACTGGGCAGACTTTGGTGTGCTGGCAACCCTGCACTCCAACCTGGGTGACAGAGGAAACTTTATCTTAAAAATAAAATAAAATTGGCTGGGTGTGGTGGCTCACACCTGTAATCCCAGCACTGTAGGAGGCCAAGGAGGGCAGGTCACCTGAAGTCAGGAGTTTGAGAGCAGCCTGGCCAACATAGAGAAACCCCGTCTCTACTAAAAGTACAATAATTAGCTGGGCATTGTGGTACATGCCGGTAGTCCCAGCTACTCGGGAGGCTGAGGCAGGAGAATTGCTTGAACCCAGGAGTCAAAGGTTGCAGTGAATCAAGATCATGCCATTGCACTCCAGCCTGGGTGACAGAGCAAGACTCCGTCTCTAAATAAATTAATTTAATTTTAATGAAGTTGGGAAGGGAACAGGAATTATGGGCGGGGTGGGTAGTTGGAAAGTACAGGGGTAGGGAATGCCTCGTCCACAGCATTCGTACAGGCAGATGGGAGGGGGCCAAGGAGAGAACCGTGCTGATCAGAGGAAAAGAAGGTGCCAGGAAGAGAAAACACGCATGGGCAAAGGCCCTGAGGCGAGACGGTGCCTGGCATGTTAGAGGAACAGCGAGGAGGCCTTTGTGGCTGGAGCACAGTGGGTGAGGGGGAGGGCAGGGAGGAGATGGGGGTGGCTGTCCAGGGCCTTAATGTAGGGGGACTTTGGCTTTGACCTCGAGGGAGATGTGAGCTATGGAGGTTATAAGCAGAGGAGGGATTCGATCTGACCCAGATGTTCTGGGTGCCCTCCAGCAGCTGCAGGGAAACATAATGGGAAGTGTGGGCAGGAGCGAGGGAACCCAGGGTAGGCGAGAGACACCAGACCCAAGGGGATGTCTCTGGGGTCAGGAGATGAGAACAAGCACAGAAGGAACTGCTGGAGGCATCAGGAGTTTGCCCGGCTGGGTTTGAGGGGGTCTGTAGCCTTAGAGGAGACATGGAGAAGGCACTGGGCATGCCATTCTGGGCTTCTGAGGAAAGAGGTAATGTAGGATTTGCCAGTCCATGGCTGGTATTTGCAGCTACCAGCCTGGATGGGGTCACCTAGGGACCAGATTTGGACAGAGAGGCTCACTCCTGGGGCTCCCTGATGTTTGCATATCGAGAGAGCAAGAACAGGGCTTATGGAGCATATGAGTCAGATTGCATCCTTCCTCTGCCTACAACCCTCCATGGCTCCCACCTGTCTTGGAGTCAGAGCCTGAGATTAGGCAGAAGTGGCTGTGAGATGGGGAGATAGTGAGGTCGGGGGAACCAGAGAGGGAAGGGGCCCAGGGAGGAGAGTGGACTACTGGGCACCTGCTGTACTGGTTGGTGAAGGTTGGGGCTGGGACTCAGCACTGTGTAGTGAGGAAGGAGAGGTCACTGGTAACCCTACAGTTGATTTTGGGGTAGGAGAAACACGGCAGCTGCAGCCAGTACTTTCAACGAGTTCCAATAAATAAGCCTATAGGGAAAAGAAGTTGGTAGGTAGCCAGAGGGGCAGAGTAGAGTCAATAGAGAGCTTTTTGGTTTTGGCTTTTTCTTGTGTGAAATAACAGTGGGGTTGGCATTGATGATTAAGAACCAACAGGAAGGCCGGTGACTCATGCCTGTAATCCCAGCACTTTGGGAGGCCGAGGCAGACAGATCATTTGAGGTCAAGAGTTCGAGACCAGCCTGGCCAAATGGCAAAACCATCTCTCTACTAAAAATACCAAAATTAGCCAGGTATGGTGGTGGGTGCCTATAATCCCAGCTACTTGGGAGGCTGAGGCAGGAGAATCGCTGGAACCCAGGAAGCTGAGGTTGCAGTGAGCCAAGATCATGCCACTGCACTCCAGCCTCGGGGACAGTGCAAAGATGTGCAAAGCTCTGCCACTGCACTCCAGACTCGGGGACAGTGCAAAGATGTGCAAAGCTCTGTCTTTGCACTGAGTTTCAGAAGAGAGGGTGCGGTGGGAGCTGGCTCCAGGACAGTGTCCCAGGCAACAAGCAAAAAGGTGGAATTTGAGGGGAGGAGCAGGGCACTTGGGAACGTTATTTCCAACTGACGGGTTGCACAGTGAAAAATGAAGCCCCGCCCTTTCCAGACTACCAGGGAGATGAAGCCCCACCCCTGTCTGGCTCCCTGGCTGATGAGGCCCCACCCTGTCTGTCTTCCTGTAGATGAAGCCCCGCCCCTCCCTAGCTTCTCGTATCGAGCCCCACCCCTCTTAAACTCTGGGAGATGGAGCCCTGCTCCCTCTCAGTCTTCCTGGGAGATGAGGCCCCACTGCCTGCCTTCCTGAGAGATGAGAAGGCAGTCACCTGCTAATGAGAGGGAGGTGATAGGGGTCTGAGAAGAGAAAAGGGGTCAAAGTGCCACCCAGTAAAGCAGCTGGGATCATAAGCACCCTCTTGGGTTGGGGTTCGTGGTCATTAAGGGCCCGTCAGGGAGCTTGAGTGTGTTCTGCGCATTTAGTGCAAGCCAGTGAGAGGCCCTTGAGTGCCCAGCTTAAGAGCATAGGAATCACAGGGTGGAGGGCACTAGGGCGCTATAGAAGGTTATGGAGCAGGGAAGGCCATGCCAGTTAGAGATTCCTGGGACTGGGGTCTACAGCAGCTGATGCCCCGGCGTCCTCCTCTCCCTCCTGCCATAGGATCCTCTACACAACATACTATGATTCCGTCAGCAACAGCGGCCCCTTCTTCGGCTACTACTTCCTGAACATGCTTCTGATGTTGCTGCAGCTGCTACATGTGTTCTGGGCTTGCCTCATCCTGCGCATGCTCTATAGCTTCATGAAGAAGGGCCAGGTATGGCTGGACCTCCCCACGGTCCCCAGCCCCAGCCCCAAGCTCCTCCTTTCTCCTTGCTCCAACCTGCATCCCTCTCTCTCTTCCCCAGATGGAGAAGGACATTCGTAGTGACGTGGAAGAATCGGACTCCAGTGAGGAGGAGGCGGCAGCAACCCGGGAACCTCTCCAGCTAAAGAACGGGGCGGCTCGTGGGCCCAAGGCAGTTCTTGCTGACGGCCCTCGCAGCCGAGTGGCCAGGCGTCTGAACAACAGTCACACAACGGCCACATAGCCAAGTGGGGGTTGGCCATGAGGGGCTGCCCCCAGCGCCTTGGATATTTCTGGGGTGATGGGACTGGCAGTCCTGGGGCCACCTTTCCGGAGACAGGGAGGGCCCCACCCAGGGTGGGCAGGGAGGGCTGATGATCTGTCTCCTGCCCCTTCCTTCGGCCCACCCACCCTCCTTCCCACTGGGCAACTGGACAGAGCTGAGAGGCAGCAGCTGGATGTCTCAGCTGGCCACAGACACCTCCGGGCTACAGCCTGCAGGGGGAGCCCCAGGCTGAAAAGGGTCCAATAAAACATAAACGGAGCCATATTTTCTGCCTGAGAACTTGGGTCCCCATCAAAGGCTCCTTCTTCATCCTCAGAGACCCCTGAGGGAACCAGACCTCTACTTACATATCCCATTGATGTAAGGGCCCCCCAGGGGCCCCAGACAGCAGCAGAGCCCGGAGACCCACCCCCTTGCTGTTCCCAGATGAGCCCCTGACTCCCCAGCCAGGGCCTCGAATAAGCCTCTCCCTGCACCCTTAGGGTGCCCTTGGTCAGCCTTTCAAAGACCCCCTTACAAACTAGCTCTGAAAGGTCCAGTCCTTTGCGCAAGGTCACACAGAGGTCATGGACCAAGCAGAAGAGATGCTTAGGCTCATCCCTGGCATCTCCCTTGGGACAATGGAAGGACTGGGGATAAAATCCCACGGGCTTCCCAAGGGTTAGCCTGGAGAAAGTCACCATCTCTTAAGCTCCCAAAATAAAGAAACGGAGGCCAGGTGTGGTGGCTCACACCTGGAATTCCAGCACTTTGGGAGGCTGAGGCAGGCACATCACTTGAGGTCAGGAGTTCCAAGACCAGTCTGAGCCTGAGCAACATAGTAAAACCCCATCTCTACTAAAAATACAAAAATTAGCTGGGCATGGCGATGCATACCTGTAATCCCAGTTACTTGGGAGGCTGCTGCAGGAGAATCGGTTGAACCTGGGAAGTGGAGGTTGCAGCAAGCTGAGGTCACACAACTGCACTCCAGCCTGGTCCACAGTGAGACTCTGTCTCAAAAATAAAAAGGAAGTTGGACAACAGAATTGGAGAGAATGGGGGGGGGTCTGATCTCACATACATTACTGAGGGGAGTATAAATTGCTACCAACACTGGAAAAACCATTCAGCATTGTGTACAATTGTTTACCTTTTATAAAGCTCAAAAGCAACCCAAATGAAATAACGTTGCATAGGCATGAATGCCTAGCTAGTAGACCTATAATAAAATAAACACAGGCTGGGTGCAATGGCTCACATCTGTGATCCCAGCACTTTGGGAGGCTGAGGCTAGCGGACCACCTGAGGTCAGAAGTTCAAGACCAGCCTGGCAAAACCCTGTCTCTACTAAAAATTACCCAGGCACGGTGGCAGGCACCTCTAATCTCAGCTACGCAGGAGGCTGAGGTGGGAGAATTGCTTGAACCCAGGAGGCAGAGGTTGCACTGACCCGAGATCATGCCACTGCACTCCAGACTTGGCAACAGAGCCAGACTCGGTCTCAAAAAGTAAACGTGTAAAGAAACCAGGTGTGGTCGCTCACCCCTGTAGTCCCAGCACTTCGGGGATTTAGGCAAGAGCATTGCTTGAGTCTGGGAATTCAAGACCAGCCTAGGAAATAGAACAAGACTCCTGTCTCCACAAGAAAGAAAAAAAAAATGGGCAAAGGATTTGAATAGAAATTTACTGGCCAGGCGTTGTGGCTCAGGCCTGTAATCCCAGCTCTTTGGGAGGCCGAGGCAGGTGGATCACCTGAGGTCAGGAGTTCAAGACCAGCCTGATCAACATGGAAAAACCCCATCTCTACTAAAAATACAAAAATTAGCTGGGCATGGTGGTGGGCGCCTGTAACCCCAGCTATTTGGGAGGCTGAGGTAGGAGAATCTTGAATCCAGAAGGCAGAGTTGCAGTGAGCTGAAATTGTGCTCCATCTTAAAAAAAATTCTCAGAAATAAAAAGCACATGAAAAAATATTCAACATCATTAGTCATTAGGAAAATGCAAATCAAAACCACAATGAGAAACCCCTTTACATCCGCAAGAGTGGGTATAATGAACGAAGTGTCGGCAAGGATGTGGAAAAATGGAAACAACTCTGTTCACTGCTGGTGGAAATGTAAAATAGTTAATCACTGAGGAAAATCATTTGGTGGTTCCTCAAGAAGTTAAACAGAATTACACTATGATCCAGCAATTCCACTCCTAGGATTAGACCCAAAAGAACTGGAAGCAGGTACTCAGATACTTAGACATGAATGTTCAGCGCAGCACTAGTCACAATAAAGGTAGAAACAGCCGGTCATGATGGTTCACTCCTGTAATCCCAACACTTTGGGAGGTTGAAGCAGGAGGATTGCTTGAATCTAGGAGTTCAAGACCATCTAGGCAACATGGTGAGACACTTCCTCTACAAAAAAACAGAAAAATCAGCTGGGCATGGTGGCTCACACCTGTAATCCCAGCACTTTGGGAGGCCAAGGCGGGCAGATCACAAAGTCAACAGATTGAGACCATCCTGGCCAACATGGTGAAACCCTAACTCTACTAAAAAAAAAAAATTATATATATATATATATCTCCTAGCTGGGTATAGTGGTGTGCACCTGTAGTCCCACCTACTCGAGAGGCTGAGGCAGGAAAATCACTTGAGCCTGGGAAGCAGAGATTGCAGTGAGCCAAGATTGCGCCACTGCACTCCAGCCTGGTGACAGAGTGAGACTCCATCTAAAAATAATAATAATAATGGCCAGAGTAAGGTTCTAATAGAGAATATTATATAAAATATGCTAAAATGTCTAGGAGCAGTGGCTCACGTCTGTAATCCCAGCACTTTGGGAGGCCGAGGCGGGTGGATCACCTGAGATCAAGAATTTGAAACCAGCCTGGCCAACGTGAAACTCTGTCTCCACAAAAAAAAATTATAATTTAAAAAATGGAAAAATAAGCAGAGTGTGGTGGCATATGTATATAGTCCCAACTACTCAGGAAGCTGAGAGGGAAGTTTGCCTGAGCCCAAGAGTACAAGACTGCTGTGAGCTATATCATGCCACTGTATGCCAGCTTGGGCCACAGAGCGAGACCCTATCTGGAAGAAAAAGGTAGAAACATCCCAAATGTCCAGTGGGTGAATAAACAAATTGCAGTCAATCTATACAATGGAATACTACTCAGCCATGAAAAGGAATGCAGCACTGACTTATGCTACATGTGAAGGAACCCTGAAACCATTATGCTCAGTGTAAGAAGTCAGACATAAAAGGTCACACATTTTATGATTCCACCTATATGAAATATCCAGAAGAGGTAAACGTATAAAAATAAAATGCATATGTATAGTTGCAGGGGGCTGCGGGCTGAAGGCATGGGGAGAAACTGTCTCATAGGTACAGAGTTTTATTTTGTAGTTAGGAGAATGTTTTGGAGCTAACGTTGTAGGTGTACAACATTGCAAATGTACTAAATGCCACTGAATTGTTCACTTTAAAATGGTTAATGTGCTATGCAAATTTCATCTTAATAAATGCATGAGAAAGGGACTTGTATAAATCAACTATGGTGTCTCACGAAGCAAGGCTTATAATGATTTCATTTACCTGGTGTTTCCCTATCCAACTATTCCCATTCCCCGCGAAAAACAAATGACAAAAACTTCATGGGTTGAAAGATAACTGATAATGGAGATAGAAAATACACTTTCATAGATGAATAGCAAAAATATTACATAGAAATGCTTGTGAAATGTAGCTTAAGCGATCCTTTGAAGGAAATGTATAACTAGGCTTATATTGGAAAAGAAAAAAAAAAGCAGCTGGGTGTAGTGGCTTATGTCTGTAATCCCAGCACTTTGGGAGGTCAAGGTGGGCGGATCACGAGGTCAGGAGTTCAAGACCGGCCTGGCCAACATGGTGAAATCCTGTCTCTACTAAAGATGAAAAAAAAAAAAAAAATAGCCAGGCATGCTGGCATGTGCCTGTAATCCCAGCTACTCAGGAGGCTGAGGCAGAAGAATTGCCTGAATCCAGGAGGCAGAGGTTGCAGAGAGCCAAGATCATGCCATTGCACTCCAGCCTGGGCGACAGGGCGAGACTTCATCTCAAAAAGAAAGAAAAAGCTCAAAAATAATTAGCTAAACATTTAAGAAGGTTTTAAGAACAGTAAAATGAGCCTAATGGAAGAAAAGCATCATACACAGTAAGTGTATTTTAGAGGATTAGCAAACAAAAGTTATTTGAATGACTAATAGAGGAACATCTGGTAAGATTCATAAAGAAAAATAGTAACAGGAAAAAAAAAAAAAAAAAAACAGGCCAGGTGCAGTGGCTCATACCTGTAATCCCAGCACTTCTAGAGACCAAGGCAGAGAATCCCTTGATCCCAGGAGTTCAAGATCAGCCTGGCAACATGGCAAGACCCTCATCTCTATACGAAATTTAAAAATTAGTCATGGGTCCAGCCAAACTAAGCTTCACAAGTGAAGGAAAAATAAAATCTTTTGCGAACAAGCAAGTACTCAGAGATTTCATCACCACCAGGCCTGCTTTACAAGAGCTCCTGAAAGAGGCACTAAACAGAAAGGTACAACCAGTACCAGCCACTCCAAAAACATACCAAATGGTAAAGAGCATCAACACAATGAAGAAACTGCATCAACGAATGGACAAAACAGTCAGCTACTAGCATCAAAATGGCAGGATCAAATTCACACTTAACAATATTAACCCTAAATGTGAATGGGCCCAATCAAAAGACACAGACTGGCAAATCAGATAAAAAGCCAAAACCCATCGGTGTGCTGCATCCAGACCCATCTCACATGCGAGGATACACAAAGACTCAAAATAAAGGGATGGAGGAAGATTTGCCAAGCAAATGGAGAGCAAAAAAAGCAGGAGTTGCAATTCTCATCTCTGATAAAACAGACTTTAAACCAACAAAGATCAAAAGAGACAAAGAAGGCCATTACATAATGGTAAAAGGATCAATGCAACAAGAAGAGCTAACGATCCTAAATATATAAGCACCCAATACAGGAGCATCCAGATACATAAGGCAAGTTCTTAATGACTTACAAAGAGACTTAGACTCCCACACAATAATAGTGGGAGACTTTAACACCCCATTGTCAATATTAGACAGATCAATGAGACAGAAAATTAACAAGGATATCGAGGACTTGAACTCAGACCTGGATGAAGCAAACCTAATAGATATTTACAGATCTCTCCACCCCAAATCCACAGAATATACATTCTTCTCAGCACCACATCACACGTACTCTAAAATTGACCACATAATTGGAAGTAAATCACTCCTCAGAAAATGCAAAAGAATGGAAATCATAACAAACAGTCTCTCAGACCACAGGGCAATCAAGTTAGAACTCAGAATTCAGAAACTAACTCAAAACCGCGCAGCTTCATGGAAACTGAACAACTGGCTCTTGAATGTTGACTGGATAAACAATGAAATGAAGGCAGAAATAAAGATGTTCTTCGAAACCAATGAGAATGAAGACACAACATACCAGAATCTCTGGGACACATTTAAAGCAGTCTCTAGAGGAAAACATATAGCAATAAATGCCCATATGAGAAGCAAGGAGAGATCTAAAAATCTCTCCCATCGTCAAAATTGAAAGAGCTAGAGGAGCAAGATCAAAAAAACTCAAAACGTAGCAGAAGAAATAACTAAGATCAGAGCAGAACTGAAGGAGATACAGACACAAAAACCCTTCAAAAAATCAATAAATCCAAGAGCTGGTTTTTTGAAAAGATCAACAAAATAGACCACTAGCCAGATTAATAAAAAAGAAAAGAGAGAATAATCAAATAGATGCAATAAAAAATGATAAAGGGGACATCACCACAGATTCCACAGAAATTCAAACTATCATCCGAGATTATTACAAACAACTCTGTGCACATAAACTAGTAAACCTGGAAGAAATGGATAAATTCCTGGACACTTGTGTCCTCCCAAGCCTAAACCAGGAAGAAGTCGAAACCCTGAATAGACCAATAACAAGGTCTGAAGTTGAGGCAGCAATTAAGAGCCTACCCACCAAAAAAAGCCCAGGTCCAGACGGGTTCACAGCCGAATTCTACCAGACATACAAAGAGGAGCTGGTACCATTCCTTCTGAAATGATTCCAAATAATCCAAAAAGAGGGAATCCTTCCCAAATCATTTTATGAGACCAACATCATCCTGATACCAAAACCCGGCAGAGACTCAGCAAGAAAAGAAAACTTCAGGCCACTATCCATGATGAACATAAATGCAAAAGTCTTCAATAAAATACTGGCAAGCCAACTGCAACAGCACATCAAAAAGCTTATCCACCATGATCAAGTAGGATTCATCCCGGGGATGCAAGGCTGGTTCAGCATACGCAAGTCTATAAACATAATTCACCGCATAAACAGAACCAAAGACAAAAACCACATGATTATCTCAATTGATGCAGAGAAGGCCGTTGACAAAATTCAACAGCCCTTTATGATAAAAACCCTCAATAAACTCGGTATTGACAGAACGTATCTCAAAATAATAAAAGCTATTTACAACAAACCAACAGCCAATATCATACTGAATGGGCAAAAACTGGAAGCATTCCCTTTGAAATCTGGCACTAGACAAGGATGCCCTCTCTCACCACTCCTATTCAATATGGTACTGGAAGTTCTAGCCAGAGCAATCAGGCAAGAAAAAGAAATAAAGGTATTCAAATAGGAAAGGAGGAAGTCAGATTGTCTCTATTTGCAGATGACGTGATTGTACATCCAGAAGACCCCATCGTCTCAGCCCAAAATCTCCTGAAACCGACAAGCAACTTCAACAAAGTCTCAGGATACAAAATCAATGTGCAAAAATCACAAGCATTCCTATACACCAATAACAGACTTAAAGAGAGCCAAATCAAGAATGAACTGCCATTCGCAATTGCTACAAAGAGAATAAAATACCTAGGAATACAACTCACAAGGAATGTAAAGGAACTCATCAAGGAGAACTACAAGCCACTGCTCAACGAAATCAGAGAGGACACAAACAGATGGAGAAACATTCCATGTTCATGGTTAGGAAGAATCAGTATCATGAAAATGGCCATACTGCCCAAAGTAATTTATAAATTCAACACTATCCTCATCAAGCTACCAATGACCTTCTTCACAGAACTGGAAAAAACACACCTTAAAATTCATATGGAACTAAAAGAGAGCCCGCACAGGCAAGTCAATTCTAAGCAAAAAGAACAAAGTGGGAGGCATCACACTACCGGACTTCAAACTATACTACAAGGCTACAGTAATCAAAACAGCGTGGTACTGGTACCAAAACAGAGATATAGACCCATGGAACAGAACAGAAGCCTCGGAGGCAACACAACGTATCTACAGCCACCCGATCTTTGACAAACCTGACAAAAACAAGCAATGAGGAAAGGATTCCCTGTTTAATACATGGTGTTGGGAAAACTGGCTAGCCATGTGCAGAAAGCAGAAACTGGACCCCTTCCTGACACCTTACACTAAAATTAACTCCAGATGGATTAAAGGCTTAAACATAAGACCTAACACCATAAAAACCCTAGAAAAAAATCTAGGCAAAACCGCTCAGGACATAGGCATAGGCAAGAACTTCATGACCAAAACACCAAAAGCATTGGAACAAAAGCCAAAATAGACAAATAGGACCTAATCAAACTCCACAGCTTCTGCACGGCAAATGAAACAGTCATTAGAGTGAATCAGCAACCAACAGAATGGGAAAAAATTTTTGCAGTCTACCCATCTGACAAAGGGCTGATATCCAGAATTTACACAGAACTAAAATAGATTTACAAGAAAAAAAAACAAACAAACAAGCCCATTCAAAAATGGGCAAAGGATATGAACAGACACTTTACAAAAGAAGACATACATGAGGCCAACAAACATATGAAAAAATGCTCATCATCACTGGTCATTAGAGAAATGCAGATCAAAACTACATTGAGATACCATCTCACAGCAGTCAGAATGGCGATCATTAAAAAATCTGGAGATAACAGATGCTGGAGAGGATGTGGAGAAATAGGAACAGTTTTACACTGTTGGTGGGAGTGTAAATTAGTTCAACCATTGTGGAAGACAGTGTGGCGATTCCTCAAGGACCTAGAAATAGAAATTCCATTTGACCCAGCAATGGTATTTGACCCAATACCATTACTGGGTATATATATCCAAAGGATTATAAATCATTCTACTATAAGGACACATGCACACGAATATTCATTGCAGCACTGTTTACAATAGCAAAGACCTGGAACCAACCCAAATGCCCATCGATGACAGACTGGACGGGGAAAATGTGGCACATATACACCATGGATTATTATGCAGCAATCAAAAATGATGAGTTCATGTTCTTTGTAGGAACATAGATGAACCTCAAAACCATCATTCTCAGCAAACTGACACAAGAACAGAAAATCAAACACTGCATGCTCTCACTCATAGGTGGGTGTTGAACAATGAGAACACATGGACACAGGGAGGGGAGCATCACA